CAGGAAGTTTAAAACGATGCCATTGGCCGCAAGCTGCGAGCAGCCGCTATAAAAGAGGCTGCCGCGGCTCGAGTTTAGTTGAAGTTACTGACGCTTAATAAAGAGCTGAATTCAACTCCAGTCTCGAGTCCCTTTTGTTCCACAACAGAACAGTAATGATTATTATTAGCTTAATAAGAGCATGAATTGGTGCATCCTATCCCTTCCCTACTCCCCCCATCCAAAATCCATACTGGTGCACCAGCCAAAGCTGGAGAAAAGGTGCCTTGGTCATGTCATCTGCCTGTAGTTCAGAAGCTATAAGTTCCCCATTTTGCTCCTTAAGGGGGAGAACAATTCCAGTACAAAATAATACGAAGCCAGAACAATTAGCCATTCTATCTTGCTAGGATTTCAACATTAAGCTGTTTTATCTCAGGTCCTCAGAGCCTCCAAATACCAAGCAAGGATTTCCCATTCTACCTCCTAGCCAAATCTAGGATAAAGATATTTAGCTGGACATCAATTATCACCTTTAATTGTTTTACTTGCTTTTCATATAGATACAAAAGAAAAATCCAAGGTTCTTACCTTTCACACCACTAACCACAGCCACATACCTTAATATATTTTGGATTTCTTAGTTATATGATTGTTGGAAACTATCATAGGTTCCCAAGGAGTATGGTGTGAAAATAAATACCTAATGATATCCTTCAAACCATTTAGGCCTTTAATAACAATGAAAACTAACAACCTGAAGTGGGTGAGTAACTGAGAGTGAGGTTCTGAGAATGATATGACAAGATTTCTAGATAAACCAGTCAGAATGTGAACTGCTGCATTTTAATAGACACATTATTAAATGAGGTGTTTCCAAGGAACCACATGCAAAGCAACATTTATTTATACTTTGTTCATTTTGTGATGTCCTTTCCAAATAATAAATAAATTGAATGAATAATGAACGAATGAACTGGGGAAAACAATCAAAAATGTGAATTTTCTTCATGGCATTTTTCATGAATGTACCTTTTTTATCAGCTAAGTATAGATCCATTGTTGTGACAGGAATCAACCTACTGGCCTGACATTTTAGGTTGAGAATGTATGATTGGCCCAAAGCCATTCCAGCTGGCTTTCATGCCTAAGTGAGACTAGAACTCACAGTTTCCTGTTTTCTAACCTTGTGTGTTAACCATTAGTCCAAACCTGGCTTTTACTTGGAAAAATGTAAAGATTGATTAAAATTATGGACTAGTGAAATTACTTGGAAACAGGGGATCCTACCGCTTAACAACTGGTTCGGTGAGCGTGCGCTTTGTAGCACATGCACAGTATTTGCAAAACAACTTCTCCTGCAAGCAATCACTGTCTCCTGCTGACTCGTGGCACTCAGCTGTGCGGAGCAAAGCAACTAAGGTAAGAATAAAGAACAGCCTAGACCCAGGCGGGCAGGTGGGCCCAAATGAAGAAAAGAAGTTCTTCAGAGAGAACCAATTTGGTGTCAGCTGCTCTTCTGAGCTACCCGTTCTATAGAACTGGTCCGAACCAGTAGAATCTCACCCCTGCCTGGAAAATATCCATATTAGGAATACATACATACTTAAGTATACAAGGTTAAATGATCATATGAGAATTTCTTTTGAGAGGTATGAAAAAACACAGCTGATGCAAAACTGAACAAATTGAAAATGATAAACTGGATTCTGATGATCTACCTGAAAATTTGAAAATGACAGAAACCTAGAAACCCTGTGTTTTAGACTGAGAGTACCTGGTTTGAATTAAAGCAAAAAAAAAAAAAAGCAGTGTTTGGATTTAGGAGAAATAATACCAACAACTCCAATTTCTTGCAAAAGCCCAGAATTTTATATCTGCCAGAATTATATGATTAGTTTAAGGCAATATATGGCTCTTATCTTATAGGATATTAAAATATTGATACTTCTGTCATGATTTAAACTTTTATTTGATATGTTGTAACTTGGATTTATCAGTATTGTAGCAAAAAGCAATATCAGTATTGTAGCAAAAAGCAACTATGAACCTAATTATGGAATGTATAAATCATAGAAGTTAGCAAACTGTATATACTGATAATAGTTCCCTATTTTACAATATTTAAACTATTTTAGCTTTTTCAACTTTCCTATTCTGAATATAGCTTCAATATAATGTTAGAACATTACTTTGAGGATGATTATTCTATATCTATTAAACTTTTATTAAATAGTCCCTCTACTCTTTAGGAATGTTGAATTTTTTTCTTAGCAAAAATCAGATTTTTCAATTTATCAAAACTTGAAAGCCAATGGGTTTGTCTACTTTAATTTTGCTGCAGCTATGCTTTTCAATCCAACAGGTGTTTGGAAATTTATAATGGCATAGTCATATAAGAAGCATTGGGAGTTTATGTTCTGCTAAAAAAAGTATATGAAAATTCTATCACAGGTTCACACATCTAAATAATCGGGGTCAGTTCCACTCAAGAAGCATGTGGAATGCTGTTCAGAATCAGCTGGTGCAATTAGCCTTAAAGTAGATGAATGCTATTCAACTGTTTTTTATACTGGTGGAGAACACTTAGTAGCTTTAAAATATTGGCTCAAATTCATTATGAGGCACAAACTGGAATTTATATGAAGAAGAAATCTCTAGAAACTAGGAAACAAAATTTTTGCAGTCACTTTTAGCTGTTCCCAATGGAATTCCAAATGCTCACAGTCAGAGACTGGGAGATGACAACAATATACAAACTTCATTGCAATTATTTCCAATTGGACTGATCCCCTTAGTTTAATAAATTTCTCCTGGAAACAAACAATGCACATATGTTAGTTCTTTTTCAAAAGGCAACTGGATTTTCTGGTTTTTCTTTAAAGATATTTCACTTCTCATCCAAGAAGCTTCTTCAACTCTGATTGGACAGTGGGGCATCGAAAAATTTACACCCCTTGCAGACAGCTGGTCATTTGCATTTTTAGTGCATTCTTTTAGTGAGGAAGATCTTCAGTCAACATAACATACATGTACTCTTTAAACCCAAGAATACATTAAGGCAGAAGCTTGTCCATCCCAAGGATAAAACATCCAGACACAAATGGAGCAACATGGTATGCACAGTACAATACAGTATAATGCAGTGAGCCATTTGCAGATCTGCACATTGGAGAAACAACCATTTCATAAATGCATGGCACAACATAGGAGATCAAACCCATCAGGATTCAGCAGTCCATTTGCATTTAAAAGACAAAGGCCACTCTTTCAGAGACAGTTCAAAAGTCCACATTTTGATTGCTGGTTTGAAAGAGGAGTCAAAGGGGCCCATCTATGTCAAAATTGAACAGCCCTCTCTCACTAGAGAGGGATACGGCATCATATATCTCCAGGCTACAACACAGTCCTTTCAACACTTCCAAGAAGGTCCCATACCCATTGCATTATTGACCCTGACAAGTGACCCTGACAACAAAGATAAATCTCCAGGTGGCCTTTATGATTTAGTTAAAAAAATGCAGATGACCAGCTATCTGCCAGGAGTATAAATGCTCTATTCCCCACCATCTAGTCCAAGCTAAAGAAGTTTCTTGGATATCTTCAAAGAAAAATCAAAAAGTCTAGTTGCCTTTTGAAAAAGCACCTTTGGGACAAATATCTAAATGTTCTAAATCTCAGTAACAGAAGCTGTGAAATGTAACAATTGCTTTTTATTTTTATCTTAATCCATAAGGTTTGTTTTAGAGATGGAACTCAATCTAGAAATTCATTTAAAGAAAAATATATAGAATGGCCAGATATGCTTTTCAAGCCATAAAGTATCCTCTGGTCATTATAACCTTGAATGATTGTTAAATTGAGGACTACCTGTACTCCAGAGATCTTCTCTTTCCCAGTAGTATTGTTGTTGCTCTCTTATCTATGTCTTGTCTTTGCTGACAATCTAACTTCTAGACACAGAGTGTGTATTTGTTTTTCTTTAATATTCTAACTTGGCACTTGAATTTTTACATTTTCCTGTTTCTCTCCAACATGAATGTGATCATAGCACGGTGCAAGTTGAAACTGTCTTTATGAGTTAGAATAAAGTTGAAGTAATGTGTGCATTGGATCAGTGGTGGTATTCTACTGGTTCGGCCCAGTTCTGCAGAGCTGATAGCAGTGATGAGCAGCGGAGACCGAACTGGTTCTCTCTGCTGCTCTGCTGTTTGGCCCACCCTCCCATCCAGGCTCCCATACTCACCTTTATTCTCTGAATTTGAAGTGCAGCTGCTTTGCGCAGCACAGAGGAATGTTGCGTGGCAGCTGCTGAAGTGACCAGGATCGTGCAGGCTTGCAGGAGGTGTTAGAATGCCTCTGCGCCTGCTCTAATGCCTCTGTGCCTGAGTAAAGTGCACATTTGGCACACACGTGCACACAAAGTGCGTGCACGCACACAAAGCACGCCCACCAAGCCACACCCACTGAACCAGTGGTAAAAATATTCGAATCCCACCACTGCATTGGATGTATGTAATGTATGCATGGTCACAAAATTATTCAGATAGATACAGATATATTATTATTTAAACTGGTTAAGTGAAATGTATTGAGGAAAAAGAAGGTGAAATTGGTTTAGTGATATAGCCTATGTTTTCAAGTAATACACTGAGCATTTTTAGATTCACATGTGGTTTTAATCTTGTAGTATATTTCTAACTGTTTATATTCTATATTTAGCAAGATGGGCAGTTAAGTGTACAGCATAAAATTATGAAATGGCATCATACTGGGAAAGCTACAACAGTCACTCAATGCTAAAATGGGGAAGAAACTAGGAAATACCAATAATGGTATTTGGTGGACAAAGTTATAGCACTGGCAAAAAGCATGAATTTGTTTCCATTAAAATGTCCTCTTAATTATAGATGACTGATTTAAATGAAAACTAAAAAGACAATATGAAAGTACACACTATTATTTTTTACGTCTTGGAATCCTTTGGAATTTCTAATACTATTTTTCTCTTTGTCAAGCAGATATTATTTTAAATTTCCGAACTACATACGTCAGCAAGTCTGGCCAAGTAATATTTGAAGCAAGATCTATTTGTATCCACTATGTGACTACCTGGTTTATTATTGATTTAATAGCTGCACTTCCTTTTGATCTTCTTTATGCTTTTAATGTCAATGTGGTAAGTATAGCCTTCTGAAACTACTAAAATAACTATTATAGTATTCAGTTCAAGAAATCCTTTTTGTGAATGAATGAATGAATGAATGTATTACTCTATGCAGGCAAATAAAAAGTGCACAGACTGAACTGGGTGCACATGTGCATATTGTTTATTAAATGCTGGTATTTTTCTGTTCCAGATAAAATACTAGAGTTATGTGTTCCCTATGAAATATTCAATAAACAATTGGGGGAATAACACAGTGAAAGTAAAGTTAAAGGCATCCAAATAGAAAGATAAAAACACTGGAAGCTTTGAGTAAGGTATACAGATAGTTCTTAACTTATGAATGTAATTCAGCCCAAAAATGTAGTCATAAATTGTGTTCATTTACAATTTTACAACCTTTTTTCCTGGTTATTTACTTCTTAAATGAATACCATGGCAAACCAATTGTCCATAATAGGAGGTTTTTTTATTGGAAACCAGCAAAAAAATATTTCTAGCAAAAATTATCATAATTATAGGCCTATGACTGCAGGATGCTTCAAATGTTTGTAAATGTTGCTGTTGCTGTTTAATCAAAATACAATCACATGACTGCAAGGGGAGTGCAGCCATCAAAACTTCAAATCTGGGTCAGAGGTTCTGCCATTAACTTTGCCTAATCATCAGGTCATAAATCAAGGACTGCCTATATCTAATTGATACTTTACACTTTTAAGCATCATGCAAACCTAAAGTACTTTTGATGGATTGAACTAAACATTCATATATGTATGTTGAATTATTTAATAGTGGAAATAATTTATTTTCTTACATTAAAATAAAAAACAGGAATGCTTATGGTATCTACTTTTCTGTGAACTAGAGAAATTTATTTTCCTTAATAATTTAGTCCCTGCCCACAATAGTCTCACTATCTTGTCATAATTTGACTGCAAAGGCAACAGGGACAAACACACATTCAGACTTGTGAGATTCTGTTGACGTAATCTTACAATAAAATAGAGTTAGTTCATCTGGGCCTCCAAATTTAGTTCATCTGGGCCTCCAACATTTCTCCCCTGTTGCCTGTCTAGCTCAGAAATTAGAAGGGTCCTTTCTGAGACTTTTGCCACTCCATTCTTTTTACAGCCTAATCTTATCTTATTGTGGCTCTTTCCCTTGTCTTCCATATTATTTCCACTTCCATTACAACAGGTGGCTACAGCGGCAAGAAATTTCAACCAGTTTACAGTCTTTTGACGATGCCCACACTGTCAGAATTTCATCTTTCTGGCATGCAGGAGAGGATTTAAATCCATCTTTAAACTGGTTCCCACTCACCAATGTTCAGAAAATCAATAAGATGCATTTATTTTGTCAGGCTTTTAATTGCTTAATAACTTCAGTCAGAGAAGCAGCAGCACCTAATTACCTCAACTGATCTCAGAAAAGTTAAGCAGTATAGGATTTTTTGATTGTAGCCGCCAGAAAATCCCAGAGCCATTTATTGGTTTAGGAAGTTAAAAAGCAAAGGAAGCAACAGAAAACTATTTATTTATTGATGCTAGGAAAACTATTTGTGTACTCACTAAGAACTGAGATTAACACATGCGGCTGCACTTTAAGTATCCACTCATATCTTAATTTTAATCACTCTGTATGTTCGTGTGTGTATTTATGTATGTGTATATAAATTTTTACTGAAGTTATACATTTCTTTTTTTCCTTATGGCTCAGCAAGGTGGCAAAGTCAAGCCAACCTCAAGAGATCTGAAAATGTTAATTAGTGCTTGATATTATTTGTAAGAAAAAGTTAAGCACTTGCTTAATATTTGGATGTGAGAGTAATTCAATGATTTAACTAGATTGCGATACTGATGTGGTGGAAGGAGGGGAGACATAGATCCTGGAATATAAGGCAATGATAAAATATTTCTTTATAAATGCCAAGAAAATTCTATGTTTCCATGTAATCACCAGGAGTTAAGTTCAGTTCAAAATAATCTTTACTTAATTTGATTGAGTATAGGCTAAAGTCACTCAAAAAACTTTCATGCCTAAAACAGGACTAGAATTTACAGTATCCTAATTTCTATCCTAGCACCTTTAACTACTTGATTAAGTAAAATTGCCTGTTCAAGAATGGATAAGTTACATATTTCAAAAAGCCAAGATATAATGTCTAAAATAAATTTATTCCCAATTTCTCAGTATAATCTTTCGCTGATTTTTTATAATAAAGATTTGACTGATCAATATAATTATTTTGGTCATCGTAATTCCTCATGGATAATCTGATTTGAGAGTTTGAGCATATAATTTAAAGCATATAATTTAGAGCATATAATTTATTTCATAAATAACTTTACATCTGGAGATTTCCCTATGAATTTAATTGTGTATATTAAACTACTATTCCAGTATTTTAATGTCAATAGAACTCTATAATATAGATCAATGAACTCTCAATGGTTTTGTCTCTCCAGCAGGGATAATCTGATGCCCATCATTTTCAGTATATTTTTAGAGTCCACTACCTCTAAATACAATTTTTGATTCATCAATTTTAAATCTGCTAATCTGCTGGTTCCATTTTAGTACTTTTAAGGATTCATATCTATTCATGGGACATAACCAGAGATTCTGTTTTTAGTTAATATTAGATATATTCATGTCATAATTTTAAAATGTTTTGTAATTTTTGATAAAGATTATTGTAGGACAAATTTCTGTCAAGTTTTCTTTCAAACAAGAAACCATCTCAATGTCTCAAAAGTCACTAACATATCTGACCTATATTGAGCTATTAAAACATGCTTAATCTGAAATACTATCAAACACAAATTTGAAGTTGGGAAAAATTCTCAAATAATAATTAATAATTACATAATAACTTTTAAAGTACCCATAGTTCTGGAGAACTGGTAGCAGAAATTTTGAAGTGTTCAGAGATGGAGATGCTGGAGATTTTATGGTATCCTTCCCCTGCCACACCTACCAAGCCACACCCATAGAACTGGTAGTAAAAAAAATTGAATCCCACCACTGTCTTGGTTCCTCATGCAAAACCAAAGAACCTTGTTTCATCTTCTTTTTGGAAGAACAGGAGAGGAAATCTGTCTCACCTCAGGGAGAAAAAATACAGTATATTCCACCGAGTTAAGGCAACAACAGAAAAAGCGCTCTTCCTAAATATTAATGTTTCAGTTTGAAAACACCATTTGTACCACAATGAGCCCCAAAGATTTCTCTCTTCCTGCACTCATAGCAATAAACACCTGTATGTTGATCCAGGAACTGTGATACATGGATCTTGTTTCCATGTATTTAAAAAAATTTGGGGAACATGAAGCCCATGTATGTAATATACAATAATACAATTCAACTCTTTATATAATTGTTTTATTATGTTGGAAGGAAGAAAACAAGATTTATACCATATGATTTTACAATATAAGAATACTTTCCAAATATTATACTTCCCTGTAAAGTTAAACAGAGAAACAAAGTATTTATCCAAAGTTGCTAAACCTCACCAGGATGTGGTAAAAAATTATATTCATACCTTGTTTTATCAGTAATACCAAAATAATGTCCAAAGATTGCCTTATTTTAAAAGCAAATATTCAAGAAAAGAAAAGTCAATAGCAAGAAAATTTGCCAAGTGCCACACTGTAACTCAAACTAGTTCAAGATTATTTAATCTGGTCACAACCAGATTTATTACTATTACAAATAATAAATCTCAGATCAATGGAAAAAATCCATTGGAGAACTAAATATAATTATCACTTTCTTTTAAAATATATTCCAAACCAAATCAAATTCCTTTTCGAGGCAATGAGATTCAAGTATAATGTCCAAACCCAGACTTGAGAGGGATACATAAGAAAATGTCTGCCACCACCAAGCCTATAAGATAGTTAGAATCTTACTATCCACATAATTAATTAAATAGGCCTACAACTAAGACAAGATTTAGGATCTTTCTTTGATTTTTAAAAAGCAGCCTTATGTAAATTTTATAAAATGATGGATGTCCTTTACCGGTCTTCAAGGATTAATCATGTATCTCCAAAATGTTCAAAAACTTTGTACAATTCCAGCCAAAGAGTTTTACCACTTTGCTACCCTGTATCAAATCAAATATTTCCAGAAGGGACAATATTATTTACCACAAAAGTTGGAAACTCCCTCAGTCAGTGATGCATTTTCCTGCAACAATTGTTAATATAGAATTTCCCTTTCAAGAGCTACACAGTTTGGATCAGGTCATAAAGGGTAACAGCCCCCTGTTGTGGGGGGGGAGCTAAAGAGGATTCTTGCTCCATGAGGTCATATTATCAACATTATTATTCTCCCCTCCTGTTTTCATCTGAAGAACACAATTACATTTTTATGAATATTGAGAGTTAGAAAAGTCATGCAGTGTAGGAAGCAGCTTTTTAGAACATAACTTCATTTAATGATTTCTATAAAATTCTATTCCATTCTTTCATTTTATTGTAAATTTTTCATGTTGTGAGCTGCGCAGAATCATTGAGAACCAGTGGCATACAAATTTAACAATTATTATTGTTGCATATTGTTATATCATATGCCTTGTAAGCAGATTTGCGTGTCTTTTAAAAGTATTTATGTTGGGACCCAGTGGGAGACAGAGAAACTATTCATTGCTTTTACCCATTTTCATTCAGTGCTCTCTTTATTACAGTTAAAGCAAGGTTTCCCAGATTATAAGTCTGCCTCTTATAGTAAGGTACAGAGAATCTAAGGGAGATCCAGGGAAGAATCTTTTAGTTGTACATGTACAATTAAAAATTATTGTAAACAAAGTTTACAATAAATCCACTTGTACTAAATTTTCATTGGCCCTAGCTTATGTGAGTTGGAAGAAAAGTTTCCAATTGCACCTCCTTGAGTACGGGTTCCCAGCAGGGGTGTGTAATGAGTTCATTACTGTTCACCTTGATGACCCATGATTGCTGTGCCAAGTCTGCTACGAATCATATTGTGAAGTATATGGATGA